CACTGTTTGGTAAATACTTATTATGTGAAAAGCCTAGGTGTTTGGGGAATGGAAAAATGAATAAAAATGGCCTCTTCTTTCTAAACATTCACAGTCTAAAACAGGAGACAGAACAGATACACAAGTAACTATCATACCAGTTAGAGAGTAAAACATGTTCTAAGAAAGACCCATTCAGGACAAAGAGAACCAGAAAGAAGATGACATTTTCACAGGTAGGGAATGAGAAAAAACTTCATACAGGAATGACATTATTTTCGGATCTTGAAGAACAGGAAAAGAGACAGAGGCCGCTCCAGACACAATGGAAGGAACAAAGGCACTCAGAACAGCAGGGCGAGGGAGAACACACCTAAAGAATAAGGCAAGGCTCAGGAAGATTCCTGCAGAGGGGAAGACACTACAGATGACCTTTGAACAACATACGTATTGGGGCCCCAACACTTGCAGAGCTGAAAATCTGCATACAACTTTTGACTCCCCAAAAACTTGACCATTAATAGCCTATTGTGGACCGGACGACTTATTCGTAACAGTCAAAGAAACACTTATTTTGTATGTTAGATTGATTACATACTGCATTCTTATAATAAAGTAAGCTAGAGAAAAGAAAATGTTATTAATAACATCGTAAGGTACATTTACAATACTGTACTGTCTTTATCGGGGGGTAAAAAATCCACAGAAGTGGACCTGCGTAGTTCAAACCCGTGTTGTTCAAGGGTCCACTGTAATGCCAGAAAGACAAATCGTAGCGGATTAGAGAGAGCCTAGACTGTAGGATAAGAAGTATTAACCAGAAAAGATGAACCCAGAAAGACTCACAGGATACATAAGTGATACAGCACACACTGTAAAAGCAGGGATTATATAAATATGTACCCATTAACATTACTTCTGGAGAAATGGGTAATAGAGTAGGCTTTATTCAGGGAATCAAGTTCCGATCTGTTTTATAATGACTAAGGGCTTTAAGTGGATTTAAAGTGGTACCAAAACACCCTGAATGAGATGCACCTAAACTATGTGCCATGTGCATGATTATGACACAATCATCCTTGTCATACAATAGAAGGTGGATGAGAATCTAAGTCGTGAGTTAAAACTGAGAAAAGGGCAAATTTGAGGACTGGAAAGTTCCTGGAATGCAGGGAAATTGATTTTTTAACTCTACTCTATGGTTTTAAAATTATTGTTTAGGTTTACTGAAAAACAGGATAACAATTATCCAGGTAATATGCCACTTAGTAGCTGAGCAGTCAAGAGTGGCCCAATGAAAATGAAAATGCTTCATCGTGTGGCCAGCAGGTGGCACTTGTCACTCGGTATAGAAAACAGCAGGTCCTGAGGAATGAATTTGAAATGTGGAGTGAGGAACAGATTATTCATTCATCTCTTCAAAAAGGAGAAAGACTGGGGAATGGGCTGTTTCAGAAGCACAATTTATAGAGAGGGTCTTGGGTTGCTTATCAATTACATCTTGAAACTGAGCTCTCCTATCAGGTTACCAAACTTCAGTATTTTCCTTAACAACTAGGTTTTGCAGTGTATCGGTTTGTTGCCTTTGTAAATGTTCTTAGGTCCTTTCTGTATTTACCCTTATGAGACTGTGAGCAGATCCGTGCTGAAATTAGACAAAAAGGAAACAAATTCCAACTTCACCATTTAAAAATGTGTGATTGTGATTGATTCAAGTTATTTAACATCTTTGAACTTTACTTCCCTCTTTTGCTATAGCTGATGTAACTGTTCTGTTTCGGGGATTACATAAGATACCATCTGTGGAAATGACAGCTTTGGACCTAGCTACCTCATTTTCTCCTAGAGGACCAGATCTAACCACTGAGATACCTCTTTCACCAAAACAGCTCCCTGACTCACTGTAAGCACTGTCTAACCAGGGCATCAGGTAGGTGGTGCTCCTAGAAGTTAGCCACTCCACACAGCAGTAGGGTGCATGAGGGGTGGAGAAGAGGCTGTAGCTGCTGACTTCACATACTACTACCATAATACTCTCTCTCCTACCATTATTCCATCACTCCTGCTTGTCTGTAACACAAAGCCCAGAACCACAGAATCTAAGATCCAGAAAGGTCTTTGATGAACGTAGTCATTTCCCAGATCAGGATGCCTTCAGCCATGAAAGATGAAATACGAGAGAGTAAGAAATGGGATGTGCAGATTTAGGTCATTTTTATATTTGTTTCCCAGTCTAGTCAATGGATAAGTAAGTAGGCACTGGCAGAGGGAGGCAGAGAGAGAGAACCAGAGGGGGCAGACCATAATTCCATGGCAAGCACCTTATTATTTCCGGATATTGGGAGAACGGGCACCACCAGTAGACACAGTGAATCATGGTCACACGCTAGCCAGTTCCCGATTTTCCAGTGGTATCTACCCTGCACCTGAATCATGTCTGCACTGTACCTACAGGGCACCAATGCCCTACTTCTCTGGCTTTCCCAGCCTTGCCTGGGTTGTACTCTAACAGAGCTTCTTTTAAAAGGCAGTCAGGAAGAGAGCAAATTCACAATGAATACTGGATGGTTTTGAGTCTTGTTTCGGCATCAGGCAGCTATCACCAAAATACAGTTTTGGAATACTTTCATGGGTTATTTTTGTGAAAGGGGGATTGAGGTCACCTTCCAGAGGTCTACTAGTCAACAATTAACATATTTTATAATGAGTTCCACGGTCTTTGAAAGAGAGATGTGTCACACAGATGCTGAGTCTGTTTTTTTTAAAATACGTAAGTTTAGCATGTAATTTAAAGGATTGGCACCGTGAAAGAACAAGTCAGTGCTGATCTTCAAGTCCCCTTTTATAATGTTTTTCGCACCCATAATGCCTGCCCTGTCATTTCTCCCAATTCCCCGAAATAGACTTCAAGACACAAGCTAAGTGCCACCTCTTCTGTGAAGCCGTTTTTTGACTAAAGCGGCCCTCACCCTCTCTGTGTAATAAACAGCTCTGGTGGTTTCAGTTGTGATCAGACAGATACTGAACTAGTATCGCGTGGCGGTGGTCACTAATTTTCAAATAGCTCTTAGGCTTGGTCCATGAAAGGACTGTTTATTACCTGAATGCATGTTCTATTTATTGACCCAACAACTACTGAGTACCTACTGCTTGCCAGGCACTGTGTAAGGTAACAGATTTACACTGAACAAAACCAAGACTATCCCTGCACTCACAGAGATCACACCGTGGTATGAGAGTGATTCCGTCTTCCCTGCAATGCCCAGCATGGGACAGACCCAAAGGCAAGTATGTGCTCAATGGCCACCTTAAAATTAACTGATTACCTGTGGTTATGGAACTCTAAACAAAGCTTTCCTTGATGACCACAGAATTAGGGTCAGTTAAGGGCACTGAGTACTGGGAGTTGAAGATGCTAGGATTATCTACCTTCACGAAAGAGGGCAAGGGAGGATTCCTAGGTCCTTTGAACTGATGGGAGCTAGTCTCTAGGCAAGGACTGCTAAACTTCTTTGTTTATACGTCAAACAGACTGAATCTATAAACCTGGCTTATGAAAAACTCAACTATGAAGAAAGAAAGAATAAGCAGAACGGATGGCCCAAATAGGTTACCCCAACAGCTACCGTCAAAATCTCTACCTTAGTAATGAATAAAACACCCAATACTAAACAAACAAAAAGGTAATCAAAAACTTCGTGATTGGCACTATTACCAACCAAGGGTCAGCTCTGACCTCCATAGGAAAGAAAAAAGCATTCAGAGACTGCAATAAAGACAGAGGCATTTCAGGAGACACTGTCTGCCTTCGCAAATCTACAGGGAGTGGCAAACAAGAAGCAAAAAATCAAATGAAGACATTCCACGTTGGAAAGATCTGACTTTACCTGCTTGTTTATTAAAGAAACTGCAGGCTGTGATATCCTTACTTCTGACCTCTGTTATCAAACCCACAACTAGAGGCTCTAAGAACTATAGAAAGTTTCACCAATCTGGGGGGCACGGGGAATGCTTAAGACAATGTGTTTGCAAAGTGACTCTCAGTGTCTTCCCCAGAGACCCAGAGACTCCAGACTAAAAACGAGGGTCAGGTTTCCTTGCCTGTGATCCCAAGTGGTGGCTGACTTGCATGGCAGATCCCTAGCAAAGTGGGAGAGGCAAGAAGAAATGAGGTAGAAAAGAAAGCTGATCTTCTAAAGGCACAGGAATACACATAATAACAATAAGGTATTAAGCCTGAGACTCTTTATTCCTGCTCCATAAGAGAATTTTCTATTCAAGTATTTCATTTCCTGACATTTACAGAGGAGTCAACACATTTGGACATATGCCGCTGACCTCCTCAAGTTCTATTTGAGGAAGCTGATAGGCTCTCCAATTCAAAATTGCTGAATTCGGGTATTAAATCTATAAAGTAAACAGAGATCTAATTACTTTATTAGTTAAGAGATTAAAACAATATTTCTGCATACCACTTTTTCTTTCCCTTGAAATTGTCATGGTTACTTATGTTTACTGAGAGTTATGTTTTATTTATTGAATTTTCTTAACAATTGAGTGACACTGACTGTCTGTATTAATAGGATAATATTTTTTAAAAGAACAACTCTTTACCTCAAAAATCCACCCTCAGGGAGGAAGCCCAATGAAATAAAAAGAGCCTAGCCTTTGGAAACATACCGACTTATGTCCCAGTCTTGACCGTGTCACCCGTACAAGGCTCTCTGTGCATCTGCAGGGTGGAAAGAAATCGCCCTGTTTCTCTCATGCACTGTTGTGTAGATGGGCTTAAATATGACAGGTAGCTTTTTTTTTTTTTTTTTAATTCTTCTCCCTTCCTGAGCCCCTGGGGCACTTGTACTTGTCTTAGAACAGTCCTTAGAGCCAAAATTAAAAGTGATAAAAAAGGATGGAAAAAAGAAGCTACACAATTTACAGGGGTGAAGCACATTAACTGATTCCCACACATAAAACCAACAGCTCTGGAGTTCAAGTAGTTTCTGGAAAGAATAACAGCTCACCTGTGGCTGCAGGTCTGCCAGTCGACTGTGATACCTTTGGATCGCCTCTCGAAGTTGTTTCTCTTTCTCAGTTTTTGATGGTGACACCGAGCTCATGGTGCCCAGAGGGATGGAAGGCAGGCGTTCTGCCTGATGACAACTTCACAATCAACAGGAGACATCGTCAGGAAGAAATATAAAACTATTGTCTATAAAGGATGATTTACTTCTGTAAAAAGATACTCTTTATGCCTTATATCCAAAATCTGAATACAAAGGAAGAGCAGTGTATTGATGACCTGAGGTTAATACGTGACGTTAAATCTCCAGTTCGTGTGGAAAAGAGCTTAAGGGGAAATGTGGAGGATGGTATATTTACAAGAATGGGAGAATATATTCATTCTTTTACAACTGCTTCATTTATCCTGCGCGATCATGAAACGAGGCGTTTTGCAAAAACGCTTTTAGATAATTGAGGCTTATCTCATTAGTGCTAAACATTTTTCTTCCCAAAAAATGTCAGGTAGGAATCTATAGGTCTCTGTAAAGGACACCAAATAATTCTGCTTCTGAAACACGTGGATCCACTGGGAAGGCTGAGTGTGAAGAGCAGGAACCCGTGGGATGGGATGCAGTGCTCAGCGACAGCCTCGCGGGTCACCGCACCCCGGGCAGCCCTTCATCACGGATTAGCCCCATGATCCAGCGACAGCAGGTGCACATCCTTCTCTCCCCAGCTGCTGGCAGCCACTGTGCTTCCCAGGCTTACTGCTGTGCTGTTCCCACATGCTATATAACCAAGTAGAATTGTATGTAGATGCACAAAAACCAGACTGTGGATGAGAGCCTCCCTCGTTAGAGTGACATAAAATACTAATGACTTTTGAAACATATGGCTCAAGAGGCTGGAGGTCCTTTTCTTCCCCCCCCCCCCCGCCCCTACTTTTGGTTCCATGGCTATGTTCTGGGGAGCTGAGTTAGCCAAACTATCAAAAAATTGAGATATTATGTTGTTTCCCTTGGTATCAAGGCTTGTCAAGGATAAGAAGTTGGGCTCCCCCTGGGCGTGGCTCTGTTCAGAGTATGGCTGGGAAAGTTCCGGAGTGGAGCAAAAGGTCAAGGTCAATTCTAAGAGCCTGCTTTACACAAGGGTTTTTCTATTATTGACTGGAACCAAAAAGAGGGGAGAGGGACAAAGTTTGTATGAAATAAATGTGTTGTTAAGCTAGGACAGGGACAAGGAGGTTGAGCCTAGAAAGAGGGCTTTCTCCCTTCCGAACCAGTGCAGGAAAAAGAGCAGATCAAACCCATGATTCCTGTTTTTCAGGACTGCAGGGCATGTTTCCCTTCCCCCTAGCAAGAGAGAAGAGTGAGGAGCTACAATCAGATTCAAATACGACTGTGAAAAAACACTTAATTCCACCCACATATGGTATTTGTTGTTACTGTCACTTTAGAAAATAAGGTGGTAGAGAATTTATTTATTTATGCCCCCCAATCAGGGGGCATCTAAGATAAATACAGCCGCCGGCGGTATGGATTCGAAGACATCTGTGGGGTGGTACCTATAAAATGAACGTTAACTTAAAAACATTAAGTTTTTATTCAGAAAAGAGAAACCTCAAGTATTTTAATAAAACACACAATCCATTCAATGATCTTTAAAGATTTTAACTTGCAATACGACCCATGGATATTTCAAACATCCTTCTCACAATTCAGACTTTTTTGGTGTGATCAAATGATCGGCATCCTTTTTACCCTGCTGCTGATCCCTATTTCCAAATGCAGATAAACGCATAGCATAGATATAGCGGAAGTATATTGATACCTATTTCTCAGGTACTGTGATAAAAAATGTCTAGCCTTCCTCTGTGTTTAAAGCGGAAAAGGAAAAAATGCTCTGGTGGTCCAAAGAAGAATGGCTTCCTTTTACCCCACCGGGGTGACCAGCTCGGAATAACACTACCATTTGTCAGATGGTGCATTTTGTCACCACATAGCATACGACTGGCATGAGGCTTCCTGAAATGTAAAAGGGGGACTTTGGAATCTAAAAAACAAAACAAATGAATAAACACATAAGAAGCAGAATTAGACTTATTAATACAGAGGTTGTCAGAGGGAAAGGGGTGGGAGGATGCGCAAAATGAGGGTGGGGGAACAGCTGCTACAGGCTTCCGGCTATGGAATGAACAGGTCACGGGATAAAAGGCACAGCATCGGGAATGTAACAGCCTCTGCGTGGTGACAGATGGGAGGTTCCCTTGCGGTGAGCGCAGCACAACATATACAGATGCTGAATCACTGTGTTGTACGCCTGAAACTAACGTAACATTGTGTGTGAACTACAGTCGAATAAAAAAATTTAAAACACACACACGGGAGAGGATGCCTTCGGAGAGTGGGTGTGGTAAGGCAGAAAGAGTACAGGTTTGCATCCAAAGGCTTGGCTTCAAGTCTCAGCTCTAGGGAGGCATCCTGGACAAGTCACTGGGCCTCTCCTGGCCTCACTGTTTCCCCCTCTGAGAAACGATGCAAGTTCATATGGTTATTGTAAAGAAGAAATGAGATAACATACGTAATTTCTATGTAAGAGAAAACTGTAATTATGTTTCCTGCCTAAGTTCTGGTTACACAGGCATTGTTCATCTAAATGCTGTTCACTGGCATTAACCCTGCCGACAATTGGCAATTAACTGCTGACAATAACACTATACTTTCTGTAAATACAGTCAATGCCACGTTTTACCCCATTACTCAGGCCTTCCATTCACCGAATGTTGCCTAATAACTATACTGTATTTCTCATCACTTTCATATACTGATTTTATGGGATTCTATCCGAATCCAATGGCATAAGGTCTTGCTATTTCATGGCATGTTGTCAATGTACACACGGTCCATCCTACCATACTGAATTAGAGCTGCAATGACCTCCAATAAGGGAAGTGTCAACTCTTAAGTAATTGCCCTCATAATCAGGAGTTTTTCTTTACACGTCTCCTAAATCTCTTGCTGTCACATTAAGCATATTTTTTGTCCTAATCCTTTCAGTGGAAATGAAATACACCTGGTCAAAATCATGTCATTGTATTTCAAGAATCAAGGACTTAAATTATAAGACAACTCTGCATTTTAAGCTTTGAAGGAAAACCAACAGTTTTCTGTCGACGTGGCTAAATTTCTCTTGCCTGTCATCACCAGGGGCACTATTTGATGTGTGAAAGAGACAGAATTGATGCAGCTTTGAAACTAATTTTGCAATGGTCTGTGATCGCATCACCACTTTTCAGGGAGGAGTGGGTGAGAGTATGCCAATTCACGGACAATGGTAAGCTGGAGGTAAGGAAAACCGTAGAGGATAGAAACCAGTTCTATGGGTCCAAGAATGCCCCAAGACTGGGCTGAGAAGTCACAGACATATGTTAGATCTGTGGAAAGGGACCTAAATTCTCATGGCTTATAACTAAGAAGCTCCCAGTAACCAGGAACTTAGTAAACTTAGTAAACTGTCTTTCTAATGGGCTCAGCTGGACCCAGAGAAGATGCAAAATGTACTATGATTACACCCCATTCTAAGTGATAGAAAGCCAAGTGAAAGAGAGGTTCTGTCACCTATCCAAGATCTCACAGCTAATGGAGCCAGGGGAATCAAACACAGGCAGTCTGGCCCCAGAATCAGAACTCTAAACGCTATTCTAATGCTGCCTGAAAAGTTCTTAGCTCATAGGAAGGGATCAATATTCATAACTATTCTTAATATTGAAACTGAGCCAACCCTTGGCTCTTATGTGGGAGATACTTAAGTTTCAAGCCAGGGCTAGAACCCAGCTAGGAGTCAGAGACCTTGGCCAGTAGCCTCATGAACAGGTATCTTAGCCCCCATTGGGCTTCAATTTTCACTTCTCTAAAAAGAAGGAGTGAGGCTAGATCAGTATTTTATAATCATGCTCCCTGGAGCTCTAGGCTTTTTACAGAGTACAGAACAGAAATGAGAAATGGAGTCTGATTCACACACATCCCAGCTTCCAATTTAATCAGGAAAGTTCTGCATTTATCTTATGTATTTGGGGTCTGAACAAATTTTGTTTGGGGAAAATAGGTTCTGCTGCAAACCAAGAAACGAGACTAAAAACCCCTGGGCCATGAGGAATCTAAGAGGCCTTACCACCTCTGGTATTTTCCTTAGTCTCTAAATATGGGTAACTTGGGAACTCCAGGTGGAAATGTTGGTGTGTGTTTGTGCTGTTTATTTTTTTAAATTTTCTTTCTTTCTTTTTTTTTTTTTAGGGCTGGATAAAAACAATGAAACAGAGGTTATTACTCTAATGTCTGTATTAGCAATATTGATCCACTTATCCAGGCCAAAGAACTTAGAACAAACTCCAAGGAGAAGCAATGTTTGATTCAGGGGTGCCTTCATTAAGAGGGGGATACTCATTCCTTCCCTTCCCAAGGAAAATAATGTAAGCCTAAAGGATCTGTCATAACACTGACATTCATCAATACTTAATCGGTCTTTTTCCTGTTTTAGTCTGAACTTCTTCCTCCAAGAGCACAAAGCAATGAAATCAATATGTGACTTAAATAGAAAAAGCACATGGTCTAACAGGTTAGTGCCCCAGGAGACACCCTCTGGATAAGACTCCTTTACAATAAGGCCATATGTTGTATGAAAATGAACTAGAAGGCAGAACTCCAACACTGGGTCATGGTCTCCTGCCAGTGGAAGCACAGAGCTGCACATCCCAAAGTTTGCAAGCAATTACATGCAGGTCTCCTTCATCTTGACGGGAAAGCACACTAATGAAGTATATTTCCACAGGTGGTAAGGAGCTAGAAAGAGCTCACAAGGATGACCGCTATTAAGCTAAAGTGTATCTATCGCTGACATTTCCAGTTTCACACAAATGCATTTTGGGAATTAAAAATAGATAACGAATTTTAGAAAACTATCAAAAACTACCTGTTTTCCAAGGGGTTAGGATTATTAGCACAAATCCAGAGGTCAAAAAATTCTTTTTCCTGGTAAGTAATAGAAGAAGGCAAGATTCTCCATTTAAGGCAAAGATCTGGTAATGAAAACAAAATCACACACAAGAAAGAGCACAGTCAGAAGTGAACATAGCAAGTAACGTGTCTGACTGCACACACCCAAACAATGACATATCTTTCGATCCAGAGACAAGTGAATCCATAACCATGCACCTTTACATCTGATGGCACAGCTAGTCTAGGATTCTACGAGCTACCCCGAGACACTACCAATGAATTGTTGTTATTAGTGTTGTTGTTGTTGTTGTTATTGCTTAAGTTCTTTCCAGTTGGTTCCTGCTCCTTTCAGCCAGAAGAATGTTGGTTAGGTCCCTCCCCATCTCTTCCTGAACCACAGGAAGACTTCTAGTGACTCGACTCTTCCATTTTCTCCGACCTACAATCCCTCTGTTGCCAACACTGCTTTCCATCTCCAACCACTTGACTAACATAATGAGCAAAATCAAGCTCTCTGAACCATTCACACAGTTCCTCGCTCTGCACCTCTCTCCTGCTCTTACCCCACCCTCCAGCCTACGATTTCTGACTTCTTTTGTCTATTTCCTCCTTTCATTCCTTCCCTGCCTGTAGAACCAAGGCACTCCAGTCTCAAGGCTATTCTCAACTCTAATCCTGAATTCTTTCCACATACACAGCTACTGGCTCTTAGGTAAACATTCTCTCTGTTCATCTAAGATCGAGGCAGTATGCACATTGGTTCAGAACACACAGTGTTGAAGTCACAGTAGCTAAGAACTGGAATAGCTCTACCAGTTACTACCTCTATGATCTTGAACAAAGTACTTCTCTATGATTCAGTATCATCATCTGTAAAAAGAGATTAATATTAGCACTTACCTAAAAGGATCGTTGAGGATTAAATGACATAATAATGATAAAAGCCAACATTGCTAGGCATTATTTATGACAGTAAATTTTATGTGTCAGTTTGACTGGTCCATGGGTTACCCAGATATCTGGTCAAACATTATTCTGAGTGTGTCTGTGAGGGTGTTTTGGATGAGAATATTTGCACTGATAGACTCAGTAAAGATTACCCTCCCTAACATGGATGGGCCTTATCCAATCAGCTGAAGTCCTGAACAGACACAAAAAGGCTTACTGTCCTGTAAGTAAGAAGAAACTTTTCCTTCCTGACTGTCTTGAGCTGAGACATCAATTTTTTTTCTGCCTTCAGACTCAAACTAAAGGATCAGCTCTTCCTGAGTATCAAGCCTGTCAACATTCAGGCTGGAACACCATCACTGGGTCTCCCAGTTCTCAGGTCTTCAGACTCAAACCAGAATTCAGCCAGTGGCTCTCCTGGGTCTCCAGCTTGCTGACTGCAGGTCTCTGGACTCTTTAGCTTCCTTAATCATGTAAACCAATTTCCCAGAATTAATATCTATCCGTCCATCCTACTACTTCTGTTTCTCTAGAACATCCTAATACACCATCCTAAGCACTTAGTAAACTTTACATGTGTTAATTCATTTTTTCACAAAGCTGTATGATGTAGCTACAAATACTAACCCCATTTTATAAGTCTGAAGACTGAAGCTTAAAGAAGTTAGGGAATCTGCCCAATTTCATACAGCTTTCAGATACTGGAGATTGGATTCTGGCAGTACCTTGCACACATCAAAAACACACAGCAACTTTTAGCCTTTATTGTTATCATCCAATAGGTTGTTGCATATAGTCATCAATTTCCTCAATTATTCCTTCTAAATGTCTGGCGTGTAGGTTCTTCTGAAATTGCACAGCCATGACTTTCTTTGGACGTTTACAATTTCTCCCCTGGCTCCTGGATGATGCCACTAATCTCCTCACAGGTCTGACCTCAACCATTGCGCTAGCCCTCCTCCAAATCATCCTGCACTGAGCAGCCAGAACTACCTTACTACAAGTTACATATGACGCTCAGGTCCTCTTTGGACCACCCCAGGGACAAGGTGGGACAGGTGTTCCCTGGGCACTGTGTAAATAACTACTATTGTGCGCTTTTTTGTTTGCCTGGTTGCCTTCCCCCTGGATGGCACATTCCTTGCAGATAGCAGAGAATGCCTTTAATTCTCTAACCCTTTATATGGTGGCTAGAAGATGTATCGGAGGCACACAATCATAAGTGCTAAATGCTTGAATGATGTTCTCCTACTGAAAAACTCCCAAAGCCTTGTCATTACTTATCAAAGGAAAAACTCCTTACTCGGGCATTCGAGGCCCTCTAATAGGTTTACTCAACCTAAACACTCTTGTCTTTTATTGCTCATTCATCATTCATCCAGTAGTCAATTACTAAGTACTATATATTTAACACAGTGCTAGGTATTAAAATAAAAAAATAACTGTGTCTACTATTCTATCACAAAAATTTTAGCTGAAGTGTACACTTGACATTAACACACATTCCCCACTACATCTCTGCCTCTCAAAATTCTACCTCAAGAGACATAGAGGAAGATGGTGGTGGAGCTGAAGGAGTACAGGCTCACCTCGTCCCACGAAGACCGCTAGATAACCATCACAACATCCTAAATACCCCAGACATAGACCTGAAGACGGGCAGGACAAACTCCACAACTAAAGGGAGAGAAACAGCCATATCGAAGAAGGTACCTCTATCATGAAGTCTGGCCTCAACTCCCACCACCTCCCTTTTATTGAAACCTCAAATAACTTTATGCCTCTTTGACCTCATTTACCTAATTTTAATCTCTATTACAAGTAGTTTCACGCATTTCTGAACCTTTCCTGGACCCTAATCTCCTTGAAAGCAAGCACCCTGTCCTACCCACCTCTGTCTCTCTCACAACCCATTTTTTAGCACAATGACTTGCTATTGGGAACCCACGAAATGTTTGCTGATTGGAATGGAATTCAACACTCACCACACTGAATGATGAATGGGATGGCCATGGCTTGTCGTCTTTGATACTGAACAGAATCTAAAGATTTCTCCATGTCCTTGTCATTCTGATATCCAAATTCATTCCAAAACAATGTTAGATTTCTATTACCTTAAAAAAAAAGTAGGCAAAAAATAATAAAAGAAAATTAAATCAACAAGATCAGGATGATAAGCAAAGTTTGAATATAAGCACATGTATATACAATATGATCTCAACTATGTAAAAACTACTACCTATTCAGAAATAAGAAACAAAAATATTAATATTAGTTTTCTCTGAGTATGGGTGAAATTTGTCTTCTGCTTTATACTTGCATTTTCCAAACTGTATATATATTATGATTGCAATATTTTTATAACAAAATTAAACACAACAGTAGTTATAAAAATATATACATATTGTAACAAACTACATTGACATTTAAAACTTTTTTCTGAAATACTCCCAGAAGCAATTGTACTGATTAAACTTAAAGGCCACCCTTCAGACTATTGATACAGATATTTATCATCTTGTCTCACAGCCAGTTTCTTCGCTGTTATTTTATCTCTAGTCCCTTTCCTGCCAGTGTTTTATGCCCTACCCTTGCCCCAGATTCTAAACTCGCTCCTTGCTTAGAAACGGCACTTGTCACAGAGGACCCCTAGGAGTCCTTCGTAAGAGGCTGGGCTCCTATCCTCCGATCCAGCAACTGCGCTGCTAAGACTCTTCCCTACAAACATACAAAACAAAGACTATATCTATCACAACACTGTTTGAACAGAAAAAGAAAAGGAAACAACATAAAAACCTGAAATAGAAAACTGATAAATTCTATTTCCAAACAAGGGACACTAGGCAACCTTTAAAACAGGTTTAGAGCTAAATGCATAGTGTGTCAAGACCTGTTAGAGTTTTATAATGCTTTTTTTTAAATATGAAACAAAAAGAAACAAAAAGATATGAAACAGAATACCGACTATAGTCATTTTTATAATTTATAAAAAGTTTATACATATACAATTTTGATGGATATGCCTTCCTATTCCTGAAAGGAAATAACAGAAAGTTTTAAGAGTAGATGCCATTGGAAAGAAGGAGAGAAATTGAGAAGGTGGGGGGAAGACACTTCCACTTTCATTTTTAACCTTTTGAACACTTAGAATATTTTTACATGTGCACGTATTACTTTAAAAACATTTTTTTTAAGGAGAAGAAACCAAGTTTACCATTCTGTCCAATATGATAACCACCAGCCACATGTGGCTACTGAATAGTTGAAAGATGGCAGATATAAAACATTTCACCAATGTACAAAGTCAAACAGTGAGAATCTAACATACACACCTTGGAAATAAAATATATGCAGTAGGGCCAGCCTTCCATCAACCTTAACATATGATTGAATAATCCATGCAAACTACAAATAAACATCCTCATACTTTACTATTCCTGTTAAAATTTAGGTTCAGAATGCTATGTGCCATTAAGACAAGCAAGGAGGGAACTCCGTTTTCAAAAAGAAGTATGAAATTGGGCCAGGCTGAAAATGGCCCTCACAAATTCCCAACTCTCCTACCTTGTCTCTTCACAAAACTCCTAGCAGCTCTCACCTCAAATTTCCCTTTGGACTCTGCTTTTTGGGCTTCTCTCAACTCAAACTCTTGGCTTTCAGCTAATTGCTCAGCATTCAGTCTTGGCCCATCCCAGACTCTACTTCTTCACTGCACACCAGACCCTGAAATATTCTCTGGTGTCTGGACAGGGTTTGTGAAACCTCATTCTCTGATTTCCACATGAACTACTCAGTTCTTACTATGTCAAAGTAAGAGGTGTTGCAGATTAAAGTCAGGTGGCTCAGACTGCTGTCTCTGCCACACATTAGTTGTAGAACTACTGAATTTTCTTATCATAAAGTGTTTATAATAACTTGCCTTACAGGGTTATCATAAAGAATAAATGTGAAGGTATATTAAAAACTATAATACTCTGAAGAAATTTAAGTTGCTGCTGTATTATATTTATCCTCTCTCTAAATATTGCTTCCCCAAGGACACTGTACCTTTTCAAAGGAGGAACTGTGCTTTATAACTTTGCATGCCCTCAACATGGAGCTCAGCATCCTGCACGTAATAAGCCCTCAAAAAAAGTTGCTCCTAATCTTGACAAAATACCTTATTAACGTGCTGTGTGGGTTAAAATGAAGGTGAAATCATGTCTCTCCATGAAACATTAACTAAACACACTTAACACAACCCACCTAACTTCTCAAACAAATATAAACTGTGAACCCCAACATAAACACCTTAAAGGCGGTAAAACTACTAGGATGTTAGAAACAGGCACATACCTCTCAAGGGTGGGATGATCTCTGCTCTGTGATCACACCACTCTTTAATGCTTACGCATTACATTTTAGTTTACTTTATGCCTATTTTTCCCTCTAGATAGTGAAATCCTTGAAGACAGTGGCTATGTTAGGATCTTGTTTTTCAGAGGCTGACACACAGAGCTTAATGTTTACTTGTAAGATTAAATAATACCAAAGAATGACTGGCTATCAAAGCAGAAGAGAAGATATTCAGTAGCCAAAATATCATGAGCAGACCTGATAAAAGATATTATACTATTCAAAGCAGGTATCAGGACAAAGAAAACAACCAGAGTTATTCACTCTGGAGGTCAGAAACAGCTTTTTCTAACTGTCAAGAGAAATTCAACTTTGTTTCTCCAGATAGAAACTACTCCAACATGCACAACTTACATGTTATTAAAACAAATTTCCAAGGACTGGCCCCGGAAGACTAGGCAGATGTTTCAGCAAGTGAATAAGTAAGCCAGAGGGATAACAGCAGGAGGAAACATATAGGGCCAGATTCTATTTTCTTTTATGTGTTACTCAGTCTGTAGACATTTATACAGATACCCTGAAAAAAGTTCCTCCCATATAAGGGAACCTCCACCAAGCTATCAGTGGATTTTTTCAGCAGAAACCTTGCAAATCAAGAGAGTGTGCGATGATATAATCAAAGTGCTAAAAAAACGACAACAAGAACACCACCACCTGCCAACCCAGAATAATTTACCCGGCAAAGATGTCCTTCAGAAATTAAGGAGAAAAAGAATTTCCCCAAAAAACCTAGGGTTTTTCATTACCACTAGACCTACCTTACAAGAAATACTACAGGGAATTCTTTAAGCTGAAATGAAAGGATACTAATTAGTAACTTGAAAACATGAAAATATAAGATTTACTGGTAAAGGTAAGTATATAGTCAGATTCAGAATGCTCTAGTATTATAATAGTGGTGTATAAATCATTTAACTGTAGTATAAAGGTTAAGACAAAAGTATTAAAAATAAGTATAGGTATAATAATTTCTTAGTGGATTTACAATACTAAAACGTGAATTCTAAATTGTGAAATAAAAAAACAAAGAATGTTTGTGGGGAAAGGGAGTAACAAGGTAGAGATTTTATATGAGATCAAAGTTAACCTGTCATAAGCTTAAAACAGACTGTTATAACTAAAGCATGTTTTATGCAAGCCTCATAGTAACCACAAAGCAAAACCTAGGATAAACAAAAGTAAAGCAAAACAAAAGATAAAGAGACAGGATTCACAGCATTACACTACAGAAAATCATCATATTGCAAAGGAAGACAACAAGAAAGGAAGAAACAAGGGAACTAAAAAACAGCAATTAAAACAATAAGATGGCAATAATAAGTCCTTATCCATCAATAATTATGTTAAATGTAAATGGATTATATTCTCTAATCAAAAACATAAAGTGGCTGAGTGGATTAAAAAAACAAGACCCAACTATATATTGACTATAAGACACTCACTTCAGTTTTAAGGATATAAATAAGCTCAAAATGAAGGGATGGAAAAAGATATCCTATGCAAATAGAAACTGAAAGAAAGCAAGGATAGCTATACTGGTATCAGACAAATAAGCTTTAACCCAAAAAGTGCAACAAAAGACAAAGGAGGTCATTATATAATGGTAAAGGAGTCAATTCATCAAGAGGAAGTAACAATTATAGATATAGATAGGTAGATCTATATCTATGTATCTATCTATGTATCTATCTATCTATATATACACCCAACATCAGAGCACCTAAATATATTAAACAAATATTGACAAATCTGAAGGCAGAAATAAATGAAAATGCAATAATAGTAGGAGACTTCATTACCTCACTTTCAACAATGGATAGATTAACCAGAGAAAAATTATAAGGAAATAATGTACATGAACCATACTTTAGAGCAAATGGATCTAACAGACACACAGTATTTCACCCAGTAGCAGTAGCATACACATTCTTCTCAAACACATGTGGAACATTCTCCAGGACAGATCATGTTAGATCACAAACAAGTCTTAACAAATTGACAAATATTAAAATCATTATCAAATATCTTTTCTGACTATAGTAGTTTAAACTAGAAATTAGTAATAGGAGAAAAGATGAAAAATTCAAAAACAGATAAAAGTTAAACAATATACTCTTAAATAACCAAAGGGTCAAAGAGAAAATCAAAAGAGAAATTTAAAAATATATTGAGATAAATGAAAATAGAAACAGCATACCAAAATTTAACAGACGCAATAAAAGCAGTTCTAAGAGGAAAGCTCATAGTGATAAATATATTAAAAAACAAGAAAGATCACAAATAAACAATCTTTCCACCTCAAGGAGCTAGAAAAAGAACAAATGAAGCCCAAACTTAGAAGAAGGAAGAAAATAGCCAATATCAGTAGAAATAAATAAAAAAGAGAACAGAAAAATAGAAAAGATCAATGATACTAAAAACTGCTTTTTGAAAATATAAACAAAATTGACAAACCCTTAATTAAACTAAGAAAAAGAGTGAAGACTCAAAATCAGAAACCAAAGAAGACACATTACAACTGCTACCCCAGAAATACAAAAGATAAGAGACTACTCTGAATAATTATATGCCAACAAATTGCCTAATCTAGAAGGGGTAATTTCCTAAAAACATACAAATGTATAAGACTGAATTATGAAGAAATAGAAAATCTGAAAAACCTGTAACTAGTAAGAAGATTTAATCAATAATCAAAAGTTTCCCAACAAAGAAAACCTCA